AAAGTTAAACAGTCTGAGAAAAGAACCCCACGCTGTCGTTTGTGTAAAGGACACAAAAGACAGAAAAGTTGAGATGCGGTCACAGTGTTGTATAATCTCGTCCTCAGTAAGGTCACTTTTTTGGTCTCTTTTGTGTTTACGGTTATCTGTTTGTTGCTGTAGCTAAAGGGTCTGAGACAGTTTTGCTTCATTCATTCACTGAAAAAAGTCTGAGTGATGCTTCAGAAGTCTGGAATCCAGCTAATATTTGCCTGAATACCTGACAAACTGTTGAACAGATTTCAGTGAAGTTTGGTGGAAAGTTGGGTCATAAATAAACCTTTGCTTCACAATCAAATCAGTGATTGCAGCATGAATGACCTGCAGCCTGTGGGGATCAATCAGCATTTTTTACTAAAAGCTGCGTCTCCTGGTCCTATTATGAGCAGACTCATTTCAGTTTATTATGATGGGTTAGGGTTAGGCTGCAGCCCCTCAGGCAGATTTTCTCTGAACGCAACAATAGATGCACAACAAGCTTTTTTACTTATCTATTATTAGCATCATTGTGCAGCCAACTTCCTTTATTACATTTTTACATTTCACATCCACGTTCATGTCAGCTCCTTTCCTGTCATGTATCTCAGCTGTCCTGGGTGTTGACTGATGTATAAAGGAGAACAAGAAAAAATCTAAACATACTGGGAGAAATTTCCTTTCAGTGCTAAATTATACAGATGCAACACTGGGGGCCACCCCCTTTGTGCGTACTTCCCATGACAGTAGGGGTTTATTTGCTTATCATTATGGATGCTGATCAGGGTCCCACAGGTGCTGATGACATACAGATCTCAAATAATATCTAAAGATCATCACATCCACACTGGTGTGAATTAATGTCAGCCTCACCCCCTGTAAAGACAGTCGTGTTAGGCCAGCTTGTTTGCTTTAATGACACATGACTCCTAATGCTGATAAATAATTGAAAGAGCATATGGCTATGAAAATGATTATACTCACAGAGGAGAAAGGGGCAATAAAAGCCTGTCTTCTTGTGGGAAAGAGGAACTTTTTCTATGAAAATTAATTGATTAAGTTAGACTTATGGACATGTCCATAAAAGCTTTAATGCTTGTGTGACCTTTAATGAAAATGGTTTATTAAAATGAAAAAGGCAGGGGAAGAAACATTAAAACCTATTCAAAAATAAAAAATAGAAAATGCATGAGTATGTAAAGTACAAAAATGAATAATGAATAAATAACCCTTAAAACCCAGAAAATGGATAAAACAGAATGTGAAAATGTTCTTGCAGCTTAGTGAGCATGGGGATAAACCAGTAAACCTTTTAAACTTTACAGCACCATGTCTCTTTTTTCAGTCAAACGACACGAAGACGTCACGGTGACTATCAAGACTGTTCTCATTCAATTCTAAAGCTAAATGTATTCAGATCTGAAAGGACAGGAAAACTCAGTGTGGTACAGAGCAGCATTTTATATTTGCAGAGATCAGAGCAGTTGTGATGGTAGTACTGAAGAAAGTGTGCCATTGTGCTTGTCTATCTTCCTGCGCATGACAAAATGAACAGTAACTTATAGTCAGGGCAACCAGTGTCATATAAATATACAGTATTTAGGTATTTATTTCTGTATTGTTTATAGCTTCAGACAGCACCTTTACAGTCACTGGTATATGTTGTCACACTGCTTCATTATTCCATTAAAGAGAAATAAAGTGTGTTAAAAAAAGAGTGATGGGAAGGTGGAGGCATCAGCATCAGTTTCAGTATAAGAAACCAATTAAAATTTTTAAATTTCTGAGCAAGATGTTCAACACGAGTTTTGTGGGACAATCTGGTGTCCAACCAAATTCTATTCTAGGAATTAAAATGCTGGATCGTATCAATTACCTCTCAATTTAAAGCATGGGTACAGATGGGAACATTGGTAGTTCACGGTCTTGTGAAATACACACATATGATCTCTGTCTGGTACGGTGAACAAGCTTTCAGTTAAACAGGGAGATCTACAGGTCACTGAAGGCAGCTACAGTCTGAACAAGGCCTGTTTTACTTGTGGAGCCTGTGGCATATAAGATGGTATCATCATGCACCAAAATGGACACTGCAGTGCTGAACTGGAAAATACAGATAATTTATGTACAGGGTAAACCGCAGTGGGCCTAATACTGATCTTTGAGGAACATCTTAATCAACCACCCAGGGACTTGCTTTGAAACAACACACTGAACTGTACCAGAGATGATTTGAACCAACTATAACATCAAAAACCCAGCAGAAAGCAACTTGTTTATCAAAATGTTGTAATCAATATCATCATAAGCCTCGACAAATCTACAAAGAGCACAACGATGTTACATGTTATCATGAGTTAACAATGCCATCCACAACAGCAGCAATTGAGCTATGAGTGAGTCTAAAGCCCAACTGGTACAGCTGAAAGACATTAACGTCCTCTAGGAAGCTACGTAGCTGTGAGCTGACTAGCGATTCTGGGATTTGGGTCAGAGAGGACAGTCTGAATATTTGTGGAGAAATATTTGATATCACCAGTGTCACCACTTTTATACGAAGAGGAAGCACCTGAACCATTTTTAAATTTAGCCTTTACAAAGCACTGTGTAATTGCTTGCATATTCTGTGATATTTATCTTTTTCTCTAGAGTTGTCAAACTAGAAATGACATGCTGACTGTGACATGGGAGTGTCTGCTGCATTGGGCTCTGTGTTTTATTATGCAGACATTATCTTCTTTCAACAAACCAAACTATACTGCTCAGACAAGCATGACAATCCTCTTTATTTAAACACCCACATGCAAGAGCTGTACTTTTTGCATAATGATGAATGTTTAAAATGCTCAGCATGTTGGATTGAAGGAATGCTGCTTTGTTGAGTTGCAGTCTTGTGTATTAAGACTCAAGGCTGTTCCCCCCTCTGCAACCAACCATGCCTTTGGGTATATGAAAGAACCAAACTCATCACAGAACACAGCACTCCTAACAAATGTAGAGGTCATCCACAGAGCCAATCCCACTGAGATGAAGAGGAAACACACTGGACAGCACGATCAAACACAGTCAGAATGAAAACAAATATCCAGTGGGACATCATTTGAAAAAAAAGATGGCTCTTGCACTTTAATGTAGGAAAACCTTGTGTCTTTTTGGATCACATAAATTTGTGAACGTGCAATGTTGAAATCTTTCTCTCTCCTGTACCTTTCTGCAGGTAGCCCTGGCCCTGGAGCTCTACATTTGTGATGATGTTGCTTTTCTTTTCTTTTCTCTCTCCTCTATCCACTCACCCCAACCGGTCGAGGTAGAAGGCCGCCCACCAAGAGCCGGGGTGTGTTGGAGGTTTCTTCCCTTAAAGAGCGTTTTTCCTCCCCGCTGTCACCAAGTGCTGCTCAGGGGGATATGTTGGGTTTTTCTCTACAATAATAATAGTAATCATTGTCTACTTTGTAAAGTGTCCTGAGATGACTTTTGTTGTGATTTGGTGCTATACAAATACGTTGAGGCTGCCATGACACCAAAACACACTTCACTTGAGGAAAATAACATGAACATAATTTGCTAGGAGATTAGTGTAAAAAGTTTGGCTTCACACTTTACTTGACTCGGAGAAAACAAAATTTGCTCAGAATTCATCTCCAAGACAAACTGTATGAGCAATTTAGAAGAAATGATTTATAACTACTTGTATAAAGAGAACATGAATTGCTGTGCTTATCATAATGTTGAAAGTTATGACATCATGAAGGTTTTGGAAGAAACACAAGTTTAAAAAAAGTCTAACTCTTTCTTGTTTATGATCTCAATGAAAATACACCTCCCCCTGTGGCCTCACTGCCAGCCAACGCACAGAGGTGCACACATTCCATAACATTTCATCTGTTGTCAGTCTGTTCACTCTGCCCTTAAACCAACATGACATTTTTGTACAAACCCTCACACTTACTTTGATCTTTTATTCATTAACACCATTTATTTTATCTTATTTAAAATGACTGTGGTAAGTGTCTTGACATTTCATATTCCCATCAAGATATCAGTGCCCAAACATCTTTGGTCTTTTCCTTCATCTTTTTTTTTTTCCAACTATAGATTCTGCTAGACTTTCATATTCTTCTTTTATACTTTACAGGTGATCAGTTCACTAGGACCAAAACAAAAGCATCAACATTTAAGGCTTGAGCCATGACAGGGCCTGGCTCATATAATAATAATAGGATAATCACCTTTATTTGGCCAAGTATGTTACACACAAGGAATTTGTTTCCAGTACAGAACCGAGGAGGCCATCGGCGGCGCCAACTCAACCAATGGCTCTAACCATTGGGGGCAACTTGGGAGCTCAGTGTCTTGCCCAATGACACTTTGGCACAAGGCCTGCAGGCACAGAGGTTCGAACCTCCGACCCTCTGGTTGGGAGATGACTACCCTACCCACTGAACCAACGTCGCCCCCAAAATACGTATCTAATATGAATATCTAAACAGCTAGATGTGCAGAGGGGTGCAGGAGAACAA